ACTATTGATTTCATTATCTTGACTTACTTTCAGATCGTAATTATTACCAGTAGTGTATAATTCATTTCTAAAACCCAATAATTTCGCTATACTATTTTCAACTGATAAGTCAACGTCATGACTACACGAGAGTATACACTTTAATGTGGTATTGTTTGCTTTTAATTCAAACCACTCGATATATTCGGGCATATTTTTCTGTATAACACTCTCTAAATTATCAAACTCATACGATCCCGTAGGTATGATAACGTCCTCTCTTTGTCCGATCATATTACGAAAACCGATAGTATTACAGCCGGGTTCAATGTTTGGTATTGAATTATTTGTCTGTAGGCTCAAAAGGCATATTTGTGATGTGCTTTCTACTTCTAGCGGTGGAAAAATGTCGCATGACAATTCACTTGAGGTACCGTTTAATGTTAACGTGTACATGATAAAAATTTTAAACACAAGTGCCCGCAGTTGGTAGTATTATATTTCTGCTCTCTGCTGTAATTGAAATTGATGTCGCATCCGTGAAAATATTTTTGTACTTCTAATGGAGGTGGCAAATTTCCGAAACTGTCATAATATTCAATTTTATTCCCGATTTTTTTATACGCTACCCAGTGAGTACCTATACCGTTTTCTGTATCCAAGTTAACAATCGCTGATTCTATTCGTTTACAACGTACAGGCAACCTATCTCGGGTAAACACACCGACGAAGTGAGGTATTTTAATCAAACGAGCCATTTTTATATAGCTGGCAAATCGTACAGGGCTCGACGGGGTAACGTAGCTATTAGTTTTTTTTATTTTTTATAGTTTTTATAGTCTTCTTCGTTTTTACACTCCCTCCACTTTTATATGGTGCGAGATTTAAACCTGATCCGATTTTATACGAGTTGCCCTTATACGGCGCGATATATAACCCGCCGCCCAAATGAGATTGCGTATTTCTTTTAAATTCGTTAGCAACCTTGACAACGTTGGCAACACCACCACTCAGTGCTCCTAGTGCTGACAAACCGGCAAAAATCGGAATGAGCGGTAACACCCCGCCCTTTTTCGGAATTGATATAATCCTTGGAACTTTAGTTTTTTTATTTTTGAATGTTTTTCGTGCGACGGCTACACATTTCTTACTTAATTTCATAAGATTTTTTTCGCCGATATTTTTCTTTATTGTGTTTTTAGCTGCTTTGATGGCTGCTTTAAACCCGCATCCAGCCCCGATTTTACGTTTTACTTTCATGGCGGTAGTTACGCCCCAAGCCACAGCTTTTTCTTTTAAACTAGAATCTTTAGACTTGAACCTATCCCAGGCTCGCTGCTCTAATATATAGTCAGCCTGGTTTCGATCTGTTATAGAGTTACTACGGTCGTATGCAATATCGTGTTCCCTACACGCAGCGTCTAAAGGATTTACACCTTTATCTCCTCGAGCTAAACGTTTTTTTAAATTTGTTCCAGGCCCGCAATATTGATAACCTATAAGAAATATTATTATTATTACTATTACTGCGTTAATATACGCGTATTTATTCTCACCAGGCACGTGAATCTCTAATGGTAATTTATTTATAAGCGTGTTTATAAGACCAGAACCATTCGTAGTCCTTCTTCGTGCGAGCGACATCGTACACTGATCACGTTCTCAGTGTTACAGAGATATTTAAAAATGAAATTCGTTAAACAAGATATACAACTCACAGTTGAAAACGTGGATCCACCTACTTCGTATAAAAAACAAAGACATGGTGTACTTCTACCTAATACGATTAGAGCACTTATCATGGGCCCTTCAGGTTGTGGGAAAACTAATTTAATATTCACATTATTAACACATATAAACGGTGTACGATTTCACAACGTCTACATATATTCAAAAACATTGGATCAACCAAAATATAAATTATTGAGTGATATTTTATCAGACATTAACGGAATACAATTATTTACATTCTACGAAAACGAACAAGTTATTGAACCTGAAAAAGCTTTACCAAACTCTGTGTTTATTTTCGATGATATTATAACTGAAAACCAAAAGATTGCAAGAACCTACTTTTCTAGAGGTCGACATAATTTAGTAGATGTGTTCTATTTAGCTCAGAGTTATTCAAAAGTGCCTAAACAACTTCTACGTGATAACGCAAATTTTATTGTTTTATTTAAACAAGATGAGACAAACTTAAAACATGTTTACAACGAACACTGCTCCGGTGATATGTCATATCCCGAGTTTAAAGAATTTTGTACTTCATGTTGGCGTAAAGGGAGATTTGAATTTATCGTCATAAACAAAGACAGTGATCGCGATAACGGTCGATATCGCCACGGATTCGATACGTTTGTTGTTATATAAACTATGGTTTTTTTATAATGCACTTCATTCGCAAATATGTCGTCTAAAGGTGAGGTACTCGGAGAATTGATTAAAGCTAAAGAAAATATTAAACGCAAGTATACTGCATTAAAAAATGGAAAAGCTGATATTCAATCTTTTGTATCACAAACATTTCAGCCAATAATCGAACCTCTAAACAAATTACAAACTGTCAAAGTTGACGAGGGTATGGTTTCCAACACGTCTGACGATCGGTTCACAAATTTACGTAAATTAGAAGACCAGGAAAAAGATAAAGTATATGGCCCGAAAAAAAATTCTCAAGGCATTATCAAATTAGGTACAGAAGTAATACATTTTAGAAACGGTACAATAATTGTGAGAGAAAACTCTTATCCGATAACACAAGGGCTTGGCGAGTTATTGTTTTCCAGATATCCAATGCAATACACAGCTAATGATTTAATTACATATAAAGACATACTGATTCAAACTTCGGCACATTTAACACAGGACGGAACAAAAATTAGGAAAGGTGGTACAAAGTATGAACAAATTATTAGCAAGCTTTTCACCACAGGCTCAGGTGTGAAATTACAAACGCATAATCTAGTATATTGGAATGATCCGAACGAGCTGGTCGATGGGTTACGACTTCTTTTAGCCTCGCAAGCTGCTGGTAATACAGGGCTTTCCAACGAAATACTTTCAATTTACGAAGAATTGTATGAAACGGGTTTAATAAAACGAATTCCAAATGTCTAAACGTGATATAGCGAACGAATTACACAAACCAGCGAGAAAAAATTATACAAGGCGAAGAGTTAATGTGTATGGTAAAAACGACTTGTGGCAAATCGATTTAGTGGAAATGATTCCTTATTCTAAAAAGAATAAAGGTTATAAATATATTTTAACTATCATAGATTGCTACACGAAATACTGTTTCGCTGTACCTTTAAAGTCAAAAACGGCTAAAGAAGTTTCAAATGCAATGTCAAAAATACTACTCAAGCGCTCGCCAAAACTATTGCAGGCCGATAACGGAAAAGAATTTTACAATGTAACATTCGATGCGCTGATGAAGAAACACAATATACATAAATATTCCACGTATAGTACAACAAAGGCTTGTATCATTGAGCGTCTAAACAGATCAATTAAGGAAAAAATGTATAGAGAATTCACTGCGCGAGGATCACATGAATGGGTTTCTATTCTACAATCTCTGATTAACGAATATAATAATTCAAAACATAGAACAATAGGTATGACTCCTATACAAGCTGATGCAAATCCTTCTTCAGTGAAATTAAAGCAACGTCGAATTAATAATGTAAAAATTAAATTTAACATCGGTGATTGTATTCGGATAAGCACGTATAAATCAGTATTTTCAAAGGGATATCTGCCGAGCTGGTCCACAGAAATATTTAAAATAACCAAAATAAATAAAACATCTCCCACTACTTATCAACTAGAAGATTATACAGGAAGCCCGATTTTAGGTTGTTTCTACTCTGAGGAAATTCAAAAAACTAGTTTCCCAAACGATTATTTAGTCGAAAAAATTATTCGTAGAAAGGGGAAGAAAATGTTTGTAAAATGGTTAGGGTTCGATAATACACACAATAGTTGGATAGATACGAGCGACATCAGAAAATAGTGTCAGTCGAACACTAGACATGAACGTGTTCGGAAGTTCACAGGCTGGTGAAACAAAAAAATTTGTGACAAATCTCGAACAAACCGTAAAATCATATTGTATAAAACTAAGTAAGTTAGAACATTTACTCGAGGAAAATCATAAATCCATTCAAACACAGGAAGAGCAAACTGAAACACTTCAATTAACGTGTGATGATATACAAGAGCGCCTTATAAAAATCGAAGCATTGTTACAAAATATCAGAGAAAATACAGACAATCTGAAAAAAAATTCCTAAAGTACTATCATCATCATCATCCAAGCAATAATGTCTACTGGTATCATTGATTTTCATTGCATTCTTGGGAGGGACAATAAATACATGATAAAAGAAATGTCTGTAGTAGATGTAGAAACATGGGCTACCCAACATTGGATTTTTAAAAATTCAAAATCAATACAGGATAACAAGAGTCGTAAGACTAACAAGTGGTTGGAACGTAATTATCATAAACTATCTCTGGAATATGGCGATGTTGAGTATGAAGAACTAAGTAGAATATTGAATTCGTTAAAGTTTAGCTTCATATACGTTAAAGGCGATCAGAAAAAACAACTTCTAGTAGAATTTATACCACACGTTGTAGTTATTAACATTGAAGACATGGGATGCCCTCCACTAGACCAAATATGTGATGAAGAAACTTTACCATGTTGTATTTTTCATATGAATTTCAATCCTAAACAATGTTCATTTTATAAAGTATTTAGTCTAAGAAAATGGTTTGTAAATAATATGTAAAAATAAACATTATATTTATTTTTTTTATACCAGTGAGTTATTTCTTTATACTACCCTATCCTAACTATTTGCAATAATAATAAATATAATATCCATAGAGATACTTTACAAAAAAAAAAAAATAGTATCTACATGGTATTTTACAGAATAAAAAAAAAATAATGTCTACAGTGATATTTTACAGTATAAAAACAATTCATTATGGATGCAAAAAAACTATCTGTTTTGCTCGGCTTCTGCAAGTTGCATTAAATCGGCTTCTGCTTCCTCTAGTGTTCTGGTTTCCCTATAAAATTTAATAATATTAAAAGTGTGATAAATTAAAATATTTAATTATTTTTTAACTCACTCTATGGAGTAGTGACCGTGAGCCAGAGTATGTATTTTATCCTCGAGTATAACCCTCTTGTCATCGAAACTATTATAAGTCACTTTGTTTGACTTGATGGTCTTCAAATGATGTTTGAATGAACGGATGGAGACATTCTCTCTCTCAGTTTTCAAGGTTGCATCTCCAAACAGACAACGGTAATGATCGTTAAAGTTCATGTGGTTTTTCACTACATGCCCACGGATTCCTTTTGCCCTGATCTTCTCTTTCCCATTGATCTTATATGTATAAGACTTTGCACGGAGAGCACAAAAATGCGTCATTACCTCTGAGTTGGTTTCATCGGAAAAGAGTCCTGGTATCTTCTTTCGTTCGGCAATGTAGCAAGGGTGATCTGATGGCAAGTCTGATGTATCCATTCGATCAAGTAAATTGGAATTATTCTTAAGGTCTTTATAAAAATCTTCGGTCTGGACATAGTATACCAGTGAATCTGGAAAACAGTATAATTTAATATATGAAAATTAGTATAGTTTGAAAACATTTACCTGTATCGGTATACATGAGCTCAATTTTATCTCCATAATGGGCTTGCATAACGTTGTAGTGATAATCATACATGACGGTCTTAGAAATTTCCAACACTGCAAAACCTGTTGAAAAAAATATATTAAAATTCAGCTACTATAAGAAGTATATTATATTTACCTATATATATTGGCTTGCAAAAATCAATGATTTTATTTTCCAACGAAATGGCATTGATAGTTTCATCGTATGTAGTACAGTGTTTAAACGTACACTTATTTATAAGTTTTTGCAAACGTTTTTCATTACAAACCAGCTCCATTTTAATTCTCCGTCTTAAATTTTCCATCGTCTTCCCAAAAACAGCGTTGTTTAAAAGTTTAAAAAAGTCCTTTTCGAAGTCGTTCCTCGCCCTCTTTCTCATCTCAGTGTTTAATTCTATGTATTTTTTAAGCCAGTCTGACTGATTAAACTGTACAACTCTGTGAACCTGCAATAAAACAGAATATGTAATAAATAAAATAAATGAGATAAAATATGTTACTTTTTCTACAACGAGTCCGTTTTTAATGGCCTGCTGTAGGTTTCGATAATGAACCACATAGTTTTTTTTTGAATGGAGTGTCGCCATAAGTTTCTTAACTTTTGAACCAGGTGGGATATCATTTTTTGGTAGGAATGGTAAGTCATTGTGTTTGTCATGAAGTTCTTTTGGATATGATATATCGACCTCATACATCCGTCCGATTGGTGAACTATCGTTTAAATCATTTAGCCCATCTAGTTTTGGTTCAACCCACTTAAAACCTCCGTATGGCATGTAATGTGACATTGCGTAACCGTACAAGTTGTTACCTGGAATTTAAATAATATATTAAATTAAATATTAAATTGATCTTACAATCCTGATAAACAAGCCATGATTTCGGTTGTGCTGGATCATAATCTGGTGTCTTTTCATTATTAGCCTTTGCATATCTCATGCTCGCCTGAGTCAAGCCACCACGAATTCCTATAATAAAATCAAGGATTATTTCACATAATATATTTCACATAATATAACTTTACCTTTTTCAAACATTAACAACATATCATAATCTGTCAACAATTCCAGCTTCATTGAAGTGTATTTCAACATACAGTCAAAACTAAAACCTGGAGCTGTAAAGTAAAATGATGGGTCCAGATGGTATGTGCTTAAACAGAGGTCTCGGAAATTTTCAAACACATCAGCCAACAGTAGTACATCAATTTTTAAATAAAGATCGGAGTATTCCCCTAGTGTTTTACAGTTGAAATGATTCCAAACCGTCTTCGCATGATCATAATGTTTATCTTTTATATGTGATTCGTACAGTGAACTGTAAAAATCTTCTTTCTGAGGCAAAACAGTTTCTTCCAACTTGTCCCAACTATCTGTATACTCATAAGGGTAGACTCCCTTACGGGTAACAAGTGGTAAATCTTGAGATGAAAAATATTTTTCTGTCTCTCTAAACTTTTCAAATCCGGGTGTAATTAAATTTTTTGAAAGTTTTGATAAGCTTGCGGACATAAATCTTAATGTGTCTATAAATCTTATTGTGAAAGTGTTGCTAATATATTTTGAAAACGTTATAAACTTTTCCTCACTGTTTGGTATCACCGAAATTGAATGTGCGTCATAACCAAGACGAGTGACAATAAAATGTGAATCATAATTCGTTAAATTATGAAAAAATACCGGTACAAAGCTAGGTGTTTGGAGTTTAAGATTACACGTATTACATAGTGACTGTCTAAATTTCCCTGATAAATGGCAGTGATCTGAGACTTTATGATTTTCTAGGGAAAACTTGACCTTACATAAATTACAATTATTACATAATGCATGTGTTCTCCGTTGTTCGTCTGTGTAAATTATAGGAATGTTTGTTTTGAGTAACTCTTCAATTTTTTTAGCTATTTCCACAATACTATCCACAAAATGTCCAGCTACGTCCTTATTATTTTCATTTCCACGGTAAATTACAGGTGATGTGGGAATTTCGAATTTTTCGAGCAGTTCTACTGGTATGTCTTCATTTGCTTTAACCACAAGTCCATAGCTCATGGGCTCGTGTTGTTGAAAAGCTGCTGTTTTTTCTCCAATTTTCTCATCAGTTTTCTTGAGAATTGCTTCGAAATCTGCATAAATTACTATAGGATGACGTTGCGTTTTATTCCATGCAGTAAACTCGAGCATTGTACCAGGTTCAGGCATCTGAGCTAGTATAGGTTTATGTTCTCCACATATTAATTTATGTTGCTCTAGCCCTGCCTCACCGTTTAATTTATATTTGTATTGTTGTTTATCGAATGTTGCAAAGCACCGTTTGCAGAAAATTGATTGTCCGTTATGTCTAGTTTTTTGTGACCTGATGAGCCGTGAAAAATTAGAGATATAGCTATAATGACTGTTATCCTCGTCTGATGTAATAAGTAGATCAAAATGATCCGGTTTTTCTTCATCTGCTACTTTAAGAGGAAAAACTTTATATTCCGGAAATTTTGGTGGTTGAAATTTCTTGTCGATACCATAAACATTGACAGACACGTTTGGATTATTTTTTTCAAAAATTTTAACTTTATGTAGTGGTGTTGGGAATGTTAAACCAGAAAAATTATATTTTTTTTCGTGTTTTAAATAATTATCACCAACACGATATTTATTTTCTCCTGTAACATGTTTCGCTAGAATTGCCCACTTGAAGCATTGCATATCTAAGTTTTGAGGGTTAATCACAGCTTTTTTTTTTTCTATTGCGTCTGGCAGTTGTATATATGATGAACCGCCCATAGGTGTATATTTATATATACCCAGCATTAACCCGTCAATACATTGTAATGTGAAACCACTACCCTTGCTTGCATACTCGTCTTGCTCTTTCATTAATTTAGTAAATGCCTCTTCAACAATTTCCTGTACTCCATTATCACAGAAAACCGCCTTAGCCGAAGTTTTAAAAGCACGGTTTTCCGACGAATATTCAACATTTGGTATATTATATGTCGCTTCAAGCTTTAAATTAAATTTGATCGGATTTTTACTTGCAATTGATTTTAGTAAATTAACTAGTTCGGATTTGATCGAATCGAGAAAGTATGTATAGTTTTGAATATTATTGGTGTTTTTTACGTAGTACCAGGTGATAGTATTGTTTGATGATGTAGATATTTTTGTAAACCCTGGAGACTTTACGAGATTCAGACGTATTTTTTTTGCCCTAACAGCGGATTTAGTGTTGGCGCTGGAAACACGTTTACCATTATCGAGTGTAGTGTATGAATCTTTAGAAAAAAAAAAAAAAAAAAAATTAACCTATGACGCGTTTATAAAAAGAAATAGCTAACCTTGAAAATCATGAAGTCCAAGATTCTCAACGGTGTCCAAAACTTCCAAGCATAAATCATCATTCACATTACTCCAAAATTCATCCTTCGTGTTATCTCGCATGGGTGATAAGCGATCATTTTGCCCGAGAAGATCGGCGGTGTCGAGAACCTCCCAGCATTCATTCGCGTTACTCGTCAATACATCCGTCATGTTATCTCGCATGGGTGTTAAGCGAACATTTTGTTTATCTCGTGTAGTTGATACACGATCTTTACGAGCGGGCGATGTACCAGGTTGTAAGTCTGGTACAAAAACGTGTGGCGCGATCTGTACTATACCTGATGACAAAATTAAAATAAATATTTAAAGTGAATATAGAAAATAGGTACATACCATGAACATTTTTCAAATGTTTATTGAGGCTGGTCTTGTAACTGAACGTAATACCGCACCTAATACACGGTATACGAATACCCTCGTGCGTTTTTTCGTGTCTTGTCAGATTACGTTTCGCTGTAAATTCTGAAGCACATTTGCTGCATTTGAACAATTTCGAATGTGTTTTTCGGTGAGCGATCAGATTTGACTCGTATACGAATCCCGAAGAACATTGCTCGCATTTAAACATTTTAAAATAAACGGATAAGAAAAAATTAATACGTTATATAATAATTACGTACGTAGTATTAGCGTAGAGCGAACGAGATGTAGGTAATAGAGCACTATAACACCAACTGCGGACAGTAATGAATAGCGACTATTCATTCATTCAAAAATCCCTACCGCCGCCGCCGTCACCACTGATCCCCGTCACGTGACAAAATACAGGGTCGTCGGATTGTCCTATATATCGGGTGTACTAATATCCGTATGGTATAGTGATCAAACCATCTGTTAAAAAAACTATGAAATCGGGCTCAAACGTATAACGGAAGACTGTATAGTTACCTTTTCTAGATGAGATATACTTTTCGCATGCAGGGAAATATATTTACAATTAAATATTCCAATTTTCTAATATACCATACCCATAGGTCCATTCTCTTAACATCATTAATCTATCTAAACTTAAATTACCTAATTCTACATTTAAATTATATACACTATTATTATTATAACTATAAATAGGAGTACTACGAATATTATATACAGAATCACTTAAGTCTAAATCTAAATATTCTAAATTATTAATAATAGATATAATAGGCCCCATTTTTTTTTGAAAAATTCTAAACAATAAAAGATCCCAATAATTTTTAGCTAAACATGAACCCCTTAATTCTAAATTTCTTATATCATAATTTATACAACGTCTTATTTTTAAAAATACCTCCTCCCAATAATCCCTACTTGTATCTTGTAACCACATCACACTCCCGGATAACAAATTATCATTCCAGATAATGTGACCATGGTCGTCTACTAATTGGTAGGTTTGCTGAAATATTTTCCGGAAAAAATATTCGAAGTCACGATGCGAATATATTTTTAACTCCGGCTTAATAAAACTTAAATTTGTAATTATATTAGGGTTTAAATTTAAATTAAATTTATCGTATACAAATTCCCGCCATTCTATGCTAGTTGACATATGGTATTTTTTATGGAAATTTTTTTTTTTTTCCCTGCATGCTTCACAATTCCATTCAAAATGTTGGTCATTGTCTAATGACGCCTCGCAATGAGGCGTCATTAGACCCTCTAGAGAGGTATGAAAATACCTCTCGATTACTTCTAAGACTTTAAAAAATAAAAATAAAAATAAAAATCCTGGATATAAATATTAGGCAATGATACTTACTCGATTCAGCGTCCATAGTTTGCAAAGTATCGCGTTGATTATTACGTGTTATGAGCTACTGATACGACGTTTAGAGTACAACTAATTCTAGTTCGTAATATATGTTTTTGATGAGAAAAAGTATATTTCTATACTCTATTTTTCGAGAGTTGACCCACTCGCCCGATGAAAACCGGTCGCGGCCGCGCATGCCACCGCTCGTTTGAGCGCTGGTGTCGATTGTACACGGCGGCAGCTGCCTACTACGACAAGCGCCGTCGGTCGCCGAACACCGCCGACCAATCACAGACCGCCGGTCTGCTGCCTGGGGGGTCTGAACGTTCCGGCGGCTCAGTATGCATGCGTGGAAGTGGGTCAACTCTCGAAAAATAGAGTATATAACTATGAAGAGCATTGTCTATGAACTACCGCAATCAGGCAAATTTTACATTATCACTATATATTTATGTTTTTGATGAGAAAAAGTATATTTCTATAACTATGAAGAGCATTGTCTATGAACTATCGTAACCAAGCAAATTTTTACATTATCACTATATATATATATATATAGTTTTATGCGGAGGAAGATTTCCAGCCTCTGCTCAACAAACTTGTAGCATGTAGTATCAGTTGTGTGGTATACATCATATGGTTTAACGAGATATAGTTAGCTATATGAAGGTGGTGTATAAAATATATATTATAAATATTGTAGAAAGAAGAATGTTATACGTAAGGGGAAAAAAAAAAAACGCTGTGAATAGTTGTAAAGAAGCGTTTATTAGTACCTGAATATACATCGTTAATTTATCTACAAATTTTGTACTATATTAAATATTTTAACAGCTACTTCCCTACATTCTACTGTATCTAATACATCTTCATAATATCTATAACCATGGATTTTTACTATCTCGTCCATACTAGTCCATACCTGCAAGCG